CCTTGAACTGTAAGCTAAGATATACTCTTCTTTGGCTAAGTTGTGTTTGTCCCAGTGAAAAGTATCTGGTACATTGTTGGCTTCCTTCTTTATGATATATTGGGAAACTCAGTGGTAAACCCAACCAGGAATACTCCAGGTGGTAATGGCAGTTACTGCTCAGAATTGCAGCAGCCCGGTCAAACTGAATCCTTACGGGTTCTATAAAGGACCCCCTCCCCCACCCATCTTTTTGAGAAAAGGTCTCATGTAGTCAAGGCTGGCTTCAAATTCACATAGCTAACGCTAACCCTGATCTCCTGATTCTCCCATGTCCACTTCCCAAGTGCTGGAATTACAGGTATAGCCACCATGTTTGGCTTATGAAGGATTCTTAATGTCTATGATTTTTGGTCACTGTTTTTTTCTGTTACAAAACTAAAGTATGATGCTCAGAGAAAGTAATTCCCACTATGCTGTTAAATTCTGCCACAAATAAGACTGCTACATCAAATTATTAAAATAAAATAGTTCATTAGACATTTTTTGTGGGGGGGTGGTGTGAAAGAACCACGTTACAGAATAATTCAACATGATCTCCATTTGGGAGTATATATCATGAAAGGGTCTGGAAAGTTCTACAGAAAGACTAATTTGGGCTGAGTAATTCTTATTTATAGGGGCTTCTGTGTGCAGAACAGGATATTTAGAATATTCCCAGATCATATCTCCATTAAGAGCCATGATGCTTCCCTCTGAGGCATGGCAATAAAAAGCATGTCTCCAAGTCAGGTGTGATGATGCATGCCTCGAGGACCAGCCTCTCACAGAGCCTGTGGCAGGAGGACCACTTGGCCCACAAGTCAAACAGCATCTTGGGCTCCAAACCTAGTTCCAGGTAATCCTGGGCTGCATTGTGACACTTTGATCTCTAAAAACAAAAACAAACAAAATACGTCTCCAGACATTGCCAATGTTCCCTGGGGGACAAAATGGTCCCCAACTGATAACAGTTTCTCTGCCCTAATACTCTTAACAGGTTAAATCTGTGTGGGATTTAATTACAAATAATTAAAACTATTTCCATTTCTAGTTGGTCTAGGATCAATATACATATGTATATATCTTAATGCATTTCTGTAATAAAAATAAAAATTATTAAAATAACTACAGTCTTACTATTATTATAAATTATAGGCACTTTTTAAAAAATAAAAGCTTTGAAAAACAGCTGTAGATTGTGGTTGATATAATGTGAGGAACCAAAGAGGGAAAAAGAGAAAAACAATCCTAAGATAATTTAGCTTGAATTCATCTGGAAGATGTGGGGGTGGTAATGTGTGGGCCGGAGAGAATATGATTTATGACCCAATGCACCCAGCCATGATGATCAACTCTCTGTTTAATGTTCTCATTATGCTTATCACACTGGGCAGGCTTGTGCTCTGGGCTGTACAAAGACTTTTTCCTTGCTGCACTGGTTTCCTTAGGGCTGAGCACAGAGGCTAAAGCACTAGCTCTTTCTCCTGTTGCTGGGAGACAAATTCCCCTTACCCCACTCTCATCCCATGGGCAAGATATGACATTTGGCATCATTTGCTTCCTAGTGGTGGAATTTTCTTCCTTTTGTTAAAAATATTTACTTTATTTTATTTTTTATGTGTATGGGTACCCTGCCTGACTGTATGTCTATAAACCACAAGTGTGCTTGGTGCCTGTGGACAGAAGAGGGCATCTGACCCCACTCCACCCCCCAGAAAAATAACTGGAGTTACAGATGGTGAGCCACCATGTGGGTGCTGGGAATTGAACCTGGGCCTTCCAGAAGAACAGACATTGCTCTTAATCATTGAGCCATATATCCACTCCCAGTGGCGACATTTTGATGTATCAGTTGTTTAGGAGTTATGGGCTATGGGTATAGAGTCAGTGACGAATGCCTTCATGAGTAAAATAAATATAATGTGAAAGCAGTATGTAGAAACCCTGGACTTGAATGATAGCATTGGTCAAGAACCCTGACACTTCACAGCAACACTTGTTCCCCAGTGATAGACTCCCATGAAGATGTAGAGAAAGTTTTGGGGTTTGACCACAGAAGAAAGGATACATAACAGTTACCTCCCACATTTGAAAAGTGTGACCTTCTCCCCACAAGAAATATGCCATAGGCTTATTTGAATGTATGGATATGATAATTCACCATAGATTGAAAATATACCTTGAAAATGAATTTAATGTGTTGTGTTAGTTTCACACAGTCATAATAACTTACCTGGCACAGGCTACTCACAAAGTAAAGAAATGTTGATCTTTGGCTCACAATTCTGAGGGTTTGAGCTAGCAAATAGATAGCCTCTTGGATTTGGGCTCTTTGAGGGTGGCATAGAGGTCAGGAGCACATAAGAAGACCAGTGTTGCCAGCACAAACCAGGAGACAAAGCCTGGAAGATCTAGGTCTCACAATTCCCTTCAAGGGTGTATCCCCAGTGACCTGAGTCCCTCCCACTGAGCCCCACCCCACTGAGGCCCATAGTCTGTTTTAAAAGCACAAACTTGGGGACTGACTTTTCAATACAGAGATTCTCAAATTTTAACACTGATAACCCAGGTACCATGGCAACTCAGTCTACCATTGAGCTGTTTCCCCTTTGTGACCATAGTGCTGACTGGGAGCTGTGACTCCTCAGTATTAACAGAAACAATGGAATACCACTAGACAAGAGAGCAATCAACTCTCAAACTTGGAAGTATTTGGTTTCTATAGAATGCATATACCTTTGATCCAATGAGCAAGGTGAAAAACCTAAGTTGAATTCTAAGCCAGGGACTCTTCCTGTCTGTCTCTCTGTCTCCCTCTGTGTGTATGCTCACATGTTGCAAGATACTGAAATGCTGAATATGTCTGATGTGCTCAGAATGACAAGAGACAGAAAGACAACCCAGAATTAGATTCCTCTTTTAAAAGCAGAAAATGTGGTTCAACATGGAAGATTTCAGTGAAGGCACAGAGTAGGAAGCAAATTATTATTGTGCTTTCAGGTGAGAAAATACAGTTAGGCAAGGCACACATTTGCTTCACTCTCATGTCAAGATGGCTCCTGGCTCTGATGCTGAGCATACAAATCAGCAGAGATCAAAGATGATATTTCAAAGTCCCCTATTCCAGGCTCTGCCCTGCCTGGGGTGCTCCTGCAGTCTAGTTCTTTTCACCCTCAAAACAATGATAAGAAAGTTTTGATTTGTGTTTCACAGATGAGAACATTGAAGGTTGTAGAAGGTAGGCACTTCATAAATAAGTAAATATTTTGTGAGTAAAATTAATAAGCCCAACTATCATCAATTGTTTTCCTTTTTTTTGCTCTTAGAAACAATCTATTCTCTCCTATTCCTGAACTTCATTTCCAGTTTGTATCATAAATTTGTTCTTCCAAGCCACCAGAGTCATTTCTACAAAGACCACGAAGAACAGAACACTCTGATTTATATGATTATGCTCTAAATTAAACCATTAAATCAGAAACTGTTCGTATTTGTGGCTAATTGCAAAAGACCATGACCCCAGAATCCATCTTTCCTACCAGAGCTGTCTGCTTCTGCCAAACATATGACTAAGGAAATAGGATATCTGTCTTCCTGAAAGATACTCTGCGGAGTGAGTTCATAATTAAACAAATACATAAAACGCTGATGTTTCTTTAGGTCTAAAACACTGAAACATCAATCGTGCTACATGGTTCAACTTTATAGATTCTGTCGTGTTTAATGTAGCATGATGTAGAATTTAATTAAATGGGGAAGACGATGGGAGTAGTTACTGGAATTACCAGGAAGGTATTTTATGATGTACTTCAGTTCCCCCAGTGAACGGTGTCACCTTTAAAAAACCTTCCTCATATATTCATTTAACTTGGTTTTCTATGCCCTGTGTTTGCTTACTACTGATCTTACTATTATGTGGCGAGGAAGTATTCATTCATACATTTCCCTAGGACACTTTGCAGTACTGCCTGTCCCTGTCGACTAGCTAGTGATTCAGCATGTCAGCTGTGGAACATTCCCTAGTTTACAGTTACTTAAGTATATTTTTAACAACACATCTTCCAAAATGAGCACAGTATTCTATTATAAACGTGGCAGGTTTTTTGAGCAACAAAGGCCCCCTATTAAATTATTGAGAGGACATTTTCCTGACTACAAAAGAATAGCCACTTAAGCTCACACTCCAGAAGTGCTCAAGACTGATAAACACTGCTTTTTACAGAAGACAGAAGCAGGGAGGCTGGCCTGAACATGGATTATCATGATTTAACAGTAAGTTGGGCTCTTTACATGGAAACTACTCACCATTCACTCAGTAGCATGGATGTATTTTTAAGTGTTCTAACCTTCTCATAGTCAACAAATTCTAGAAAAGAGGTGTTTGTAAAATAAGTGACTTTTATGAAACATTTTTTTTTCCCGAGACCAGGGTTTCTCTGTGGCTTTGGAGGCTGACCTGGAACCAGCTCTTGTAGACCAGGCTGGTCTCGAACTCACAGAGATCAACCTGCTTCTGCCTCCTGAGTGCTGGGATTAAAGGTGCGCACCACCACCATCCGGCTTTTTTTTTTGTTGTTGTTGTTATGAAACATTTTATAGTGTTATATACATACAGTAAAAATCCAGAAAATAACTGCACAGACATACTTGTTAGAAAATAATAAACCATGACCGCAGTTCACATTCATGTAGAAAATTCCCATCCAACCTGGAAATGCTTACTCTGTCTACAACAAAGCTCAGGGCTCTGTATTCCAGAAAGTTCCTGTGTTTCAGGATTTGCTATGGATTGGGAAGATGGTCCCATAGAAGTCAACCACCTGGAGGAGGAGGGCCAACCAAGTGCATTAACAGAGACAAGAAAGTCATGTCTGACACTGCAAAACTGGAACACAGGTTCACTCACTGGAATTGTACACTCATCTGTTGACAGACACGTGGCCTGTCACAGGAGAAGTCAGTCAACAGAAAGTCTGGGGTTAGCTTTCTATTTGTACATGTAACCTCCATTCCTGCATAAATTGCACGAGATAGTTTTCATTTTCATCCTCTGACTTGTCAGCTGCCTCATTTTTATAGAGTCTAGACAACAGGCCATCCTCTGAGAGCTGGTCTCTCTCATAATGTCCATAGTCCACAGGATCTTGGCCAAAGCTAGGGAAGGAAGGGATGCACAGCCTGCCAGTTTGAGGGTCCCAATCCACCAGCGTTGCGGACGGCTCTTCCTCTGGCCCCTCTTCTGAGGCAGGATGCCTCTCTCCCAGGTGATATAGGCCTACAAGAGATGGTCCTAAGTTTGCTAAAGCTGCCTGTGGCTCAGATAGTGTCTCTGTTGTGGATGCCTCTTCCTGCCCACAGAGCTGGTGGTCTTCGGCCTCCCCGTAGAGATCAGCTGGGACAGTGTACTCAGGGTCATTGTCTGACACCCCTGTAGGCACAATGAGCCATTCATGCTGGCTTAGGCAAACATTGCTGTTGCTTTGCTCAGCATCACTGACAGTGTCCATCAAAGGCAAAGAGTATCCTAAGCATGGCCCCTCCACCTCCTCCAGATGGGGATGCCAGCTCCCACTGAGCTCAGGGTCATTAAGGCAGGAGCTGTCGCTGCTTTGTTCCAGTAAGCTCATATCCTTTTGAGAAATTTTAGAATCATCCATCATATTGAGGGTGATAAAATTAAGTGTAATTGTTTCAGTAGGCTCGAAGAATCTTTTAATTTCATTTCCATAAATCAGAATCTGCAGAGAGAAGAGAGTGGACTTCACCTTTTCACTTTAGAGAGACATTGCAAAGAGCTGCCCCTAGAACTTCTGGGGTCACCAGCTAGTGTGAGTGAAACCTTTTCCGACCAACTCAGGAGAGAGAATTATGTTCATCCTATACCACAAAATGCAACTGGAAGTGAACTGCATCACTGTGAGTGTTTGTCTGGTGTGAGGTGTTCAGGAGTGTGACTAAAAGGAGGGCTGCCGGGGGGTCAATTAAGTTCCAGAATCTTCTCAATTCTGTAAATTGGCAACTCTGCCAGATGAATGCTGGTGAGTAAGACAGGTGAAAGTACATTCTTTATGTAGTTAGAAAGCTGGGGCTGCCCCAGACTACTAGCCCTTTCCTGAGTATATTATGAATATGAAATATACACAGGCATAAAAATAGGATATAGAAAGGGAGTATGATGTTTGGTTTCTATTGTCACCTTGACACAGTACAGAGCCATCTGGGGAGAAATTCAATGAGGAAATGTCTATGTTTGGACTAGGTTGACCTGTGGACATGCCTCTGAGGGATTTTCTTAATTAAGCTAAGGGAGGTGGGAGGATACACCCTGAACACCTTTTCCTAGGCTGGGCCTTGGAGGCATTCGAGACATTGTTCTCTGTGACACTCTGCTTCAAGCTCCTACCCTGCCCCCCCCATGACAGGTTGTAACCTGGAACTATGGGCTGAAACAACCCCCTTCTCCCCAAAATTGATCCAGTCAAAGTACTTTTTCACAGCACCAGAAACAGAATGGATACAGGGATAAAATGTTCAAATTGTGCTAGGAAAGGGAAAAAAAAGGGGGGGGGGGTGGAAGGCAATTCATCTGCCAATTTGTGGGAGATTTTTAAAAGTCTAAACCACCTCAAGGATACATGTGAATAAAGAAAATCAATAAGGCCCTGATAACCCCAGCTACTCTCAAGGCTAAGAGAGGAAAGGCCATCCAAAGCAATTTAGCCAGACTTCATCTAAGAAGAAAAGATAAAAAATTGTTTGGAGATAGCTAAGGGGTGGAACACCGTCTGCATGTGCAAGGCCCTAGGCTCCATCCTGAGCAACACAGACATAATTTCTGTTCTGCTTTGGGGTACATGGAAGGTGCCTGTTATTGAGGGAAGCATCCATGACAAGGTACAATCTTCTTGTCACCCCATGACATGCTTCCATTTAACTGCTGAGCCCATCGGGTCTTTTCACCAGATAGTCCCATAACATCTCATTTGTTTCTTCAACTTGATTCCTCTATGCTCAAGTCCTGACCATGAGCCTCCTAAGTGTGTTTAGATTCCATGTTGCAAATCCCTATCCCCATGTCCGGTTCTCCTCTTTGAGACTGCCATCTTTTCTCCCCTGGATGGCATCTTAGCTGCATTTGCTTTTACTAGAACCAGCTGTATTTATTTTCTAGAAGAAGATCTAAAACATATAGTTTTAGCGATCATAGCATTGCAATTTAAAACCTTACTGAAAATTCTCTGAAAACTAAATAAAGTACCACATACTCCCACTACACAGCCTGGTGCCTGTTCTCCAGTGTAGCTCTTCATGGGGGACACGATAGGCTGGTCATAAAATAAGCTTTCCCATTACATCTGCCTTCCCCTTGCTTGGCTCCTTTTTCTGCTTGCAGTTAAGTATGCTAGCTCTTACTTTCATACCCTCGAAAAGGAGAACTGATCCCCCCATATTAAATGTTGCAGGGCTTCCTTGTACCCCATGAGTCCTCAAACACTTGTTTTGTTTAGCCTTCACAGGTTGTCTCTAATGAGGCTTGGATTTTGAGAAAGACTTAAATTATGTTTATTCCACAATCTTATCTTAAACACTCATTAATTATAAAAGTGTTTGAAACTTGAGGAAACTTTGCTGTTGGTGTAGTTGTGAGTGAATTCAGTACAAAAGTTGCTTTTTGTTTGGTTTCGGGGTGTAGGGGTTCTCACACAGGATGGCGGCACACAAGCTATGTAAGGACTGTCTTACTCAGCTACTCTCAGCTCAGAATAAGTTTTAGATTCATCAATGGCTTAAGGGCACACCACTCTGATGTTAAACTGTCTGTTCTACTCCTCTTCTTCTCTCTCCCAGTTGTCATCACAGTCTTCCAACATGCTAACTACTCACCAAATTCGATGGGTGTTTCTCTTTGCCAACGTGGATGTAACGGTAAACTGAGTATCCCATCACAGAAAAAAGAAAGACGATAACAGATGTGGGCAAGACATACCAGAAGATGACCTTAACCTTCAATGCTGACATTTCGTCTGTTAAAGAAAAATCACAGGTCAGGACTGGACAGTTGTGTTTTTCATCTATTCACTGAGAAGCTTCAGCTAATGCTGTCAGGGGTCTCAGAATTTGTCATCACTCTGACAATGAAGTTCTCAAGGCACTGTCTGTTAGTATTCAGGCATCTATCTGTACTGGCCTGACAGGATATGCCCTCTGCTGCAGCCACTAAGAGCAACACACTACACTCCCTTTTAAAAGAGCCCTGCTCACCTCCCACCCACACGTGCCCCCCCCCGTGTGTGTGTGTGTGTGTGTGTGTGTGTGTGTGTGTGTGTGTGTGTGTGTGTGTGTGTTCCCGCTCTCTCCCCCTCCTCCGCCCCTTCCCTCTCTCCCCCCCTTTCCTTTCTCCGCCCCTGCTGCTCCTGTCTCCAGAGGCCAGTCTCCTCTTTTCCTTTCCCCTTTTTGTGACCCCTTTCCGTAATAAAGAAAACCCTCTGCTTGAACCCTGTCACATGGCGTGTTTGTCTTGAACTCCACTTTTTTAAAGTTACAACACCACCTAAACTACCCCCATGTTTACAGTAAGGCTGCATTAGTAACATGTTACTGGGAATTCCAAAATCTTATGTCATGCTCTGCCACGATTCCTGGCTCATGTATGGGAAAAGCAATGGGTCTGTAAGCCTAGGAATTCACAGCTCTTCAAACCAAACAGCAACACCCTCCTTAATGAAATGCCCAGGGCCAGGGATGGGAAACCTCCCTTTGAGTTAGTCAGAAGAGTCTAAGAAAACTCCTCAAATATTACAGAGTATTGCCATGCCCTTGGTTGCTTCCCAGAATTTGAAGGGAAGAGCCTGTTGCTGAAGATACCACACATTTTGAAAATAGAAACTGGAGAAATCAAGCTGGTTTTGACTTATTAGCCTCTTTCCTGAGAACCAGTTCTCAGTATTTAAAGGTACAGTGCAAGCTGCCAAGAGAGAAAAGCAATCAATAGTCCTACCCTACTACAAAACTGCAGAAAACTACAATGATTAGCATGACATGATATACTCAAGGGTGCAATAGTGTCTCTTCCATCTTGGTAGTAACCAACATCTAATTTGACCCAACATTGTCTCAACTGGAAGGAATTCATGCTTGGTACTATAAACCTAGCCAACTATACATGGCTGGTGAGGTAAGGGACCCTAGACCAGAACTTACTACTGCCACTTTCCTAAACCAATATAATTTCTAATTGTGTTCTAAATATGTATCTGTATCCTTATATCAAAAGATAAGTGTGGCTCTTACCCATCCCTCATCAAATAAGCTTGATTTTGCAGCAAAGACCATTACAGAAACCCACAACTGAACAAAATACAGATAGCAACTGACTGTGGAGTGCTCAAACCCAACTGATCCATATACCTAACTGGTCATTACGTGTAAGGCTCAGGGAACATTTTGAAGTGGGGGTGAGGTGATTTAAGTGTCAGAGGACCAGGATGTCTCCTGTGAGATAGTGTCTTCTGTATATGACAGGGAAGCTACGCCCATGGAATCTAAAATATATGGCCACCTAAACAAGATCAGTTGACATGGCAATATGGGTGGGGAGATGTTATAAGACACCACCCATAGATAAAGAGCTACAGGTAATTAATAGGGGCTGAAAGAGGGACAGTCAGTCTCAGGGATAAGGACCCTGGTAGCTTATCTATTCCCAAATAGTCAGCCCTAAACAAGTATACACAGAAACAACACTAAACTGA